TGTTGAAATCACACATCTATTTTTATTATTTATTATTTGTAAATACTCAAAAGATATCAATTTTTTCGGAATAAATGGTACTGTGGAAATAATAGCAAGATTCAATTACCTACATTTAATGCCATACGATTTTTTTCAATTACCGGTTTTATGTGTGGAGAACACGCTGAATTTGGGTCATATAATCGAAATACATAAGAACAAAACAAAATAAGTTTATACCCAATACGAGTAATGAGTTGTTAAGCGAGGTATGGTAAGTTTTAGCCCGTCCCAGAGTGAAGTATAGAGCCAATGTTTCTCGAAGGATTTCAGAGGGTGCATTAATCGAAGGCCAGAAGTTTCGAAAACTCGCGGCCTCAGAAAATAGTTGCTTGATTGGACTTCTCTAATGGTATTATTTCTCGTAGCCGCTTATAAATAAGCGCAGGCAAGCCATGTGTGATGTTTTAGCATCTTTAGTTAAAGCATTCCATCTCTCCGTAACACTGATTGCCAAAACGCTGAAAGCTGGATCCATTGCTATTCTTCATAAAAATAATAAATTAAAATATTAAATTGAGTGAAAACCCAGAACGGTGTAAAAGGACATTTTATAAATTCTGAGTAAACGGTCTATTTACTTCAGTATCACTGTAAAGTCGTAGTGCTTTAGGCCATCATTAAATTCAAGGCATTTCAAATGTTACAAAAATACCATGAAAACTGAAATATAACCTAAAATATCACGTTTTTCAAAATTTAGAAAATTTCATTTACACCGTATGTTTTCATCCTATTGACATTTCCGGAATCTTTAGACGCCAGGGGAAATAATAGGACCGCGGTTAGTCATGATTTTACAAAAGCATTCGAACTATAGTGCCGTGTGAGCGATTACTTCGAATACAGAAAATGATACAAGAGTAATCACTTGGTCGAATCTTTCCTTCGCGGTCGCTCTCACAGAGAGGTTAAGATAGATGATTATCTTTCTGAGAAATTTCAAGTGACGTCAGGGTTGCTCAGGGAAGCTGCTAGGTCCCCTTCTATTTCCTAGTCGTAATGACATTTCCGATTCTATTAATTTCAATTATTAGCTTTCGCAGATGATTGCACACTATTACCGGAGAATACATGACGTGCGAGATCGGCAGGATTTTGCAAAAGGACTCTCGATTTTAAAATTATGAAATTGGGCGGAAGAAAATTGGTGAAATGAAAATTAATCCTAAGAATGCAAAGCGGTAAACCTGCAGAAGAAAACGTAACAAAATTTCACTAAAATACACACTTGCAGTCAACTGTGCCTGAAAGTTAGTAGCTTTAAGATCTGGGGGTAATTTTCGTAGCGACTTGAACTTGGTCGACCACATCAAATCACGTTGCGCGCCAAAGCTTGGAAATCACTCCATTTTGTAATGCGATATTTGAGAAAGGAACTCGACACAAAGCGCTTGCGTATATTCCCTTGTTGCTCCGGTGGGATAGAATATAAGCTTCGCGTGTTGGGACCCGTATAGGGCTGGGCAGATAAATTTTGTTAGACCGTATTCAAAATAGAGCAATAAAACTTGTTGGAAAAAACATGATAAAACTGAAATGTGGGAACCCTTAGGCAAACGTCGAAAAGATCGCTCAGACTAGTAAACCTTTCTCAAAGCGCTTCACGGATTAAAGCGTTTAATGACATTCGAACTAGGATAGGGCACCCTCAATATTTCGAAGAGGAGATCATCCATCACAAATTCAAATTTTAGAAATCAAAAAAACCGAACGTAGGAAATACTCTTTTGTCAACAGGAACACATAACAGGACTGCGAACATTTACCTGCTGGGAAGTACTGGCGAACTTTTCCTCCCAGTGTGCGTGCTTCGCGGAAACGCCTAGAGAATTGCGTTGTTGATGCAAATAACTGTGCATGTTAGGTCTATGTTAGTTTACTTAGCTGTATTTTCATATTATATGCATTCTATGTAATTGTAACATTAATATCTCTTATAAGTGCTTATAAACTCTGCCACCGACGAAAGCTCAATTAGCAGAAATAAATCATTAATTATTATTATTATTATTATTATTATTTATTATTACCTTTTCTGGAGAATTACAATGGTTTGTAGAATTTTTTTTGCCTGCCATTTACATTATTTTTTGGATTTGGTTCTTATGGCCACACTAGTTTTTCAGCACTCTTGATTTATCCGGAGACAAGGCATTTCAGTATCGTCGCTGTAACGTTTATAAAAGTATTCGTATTAGAACTAGTCTGCTGTAATATAATTTTACTTGTTATTTTGTGCAATTTTCGAAAAATGTCGATGATCAACAAAACGAGACCTTCCCCATTTTATAAGCTTACTTTTTTTTTCCCGAAAAAACATTCAAGAAGAATATTGGAGCCAGTGTCTAGTTCTAGTTATTTACCGCGCCACGAGAACAAAAAATTATTTTGGATGAGGGTATTTACCCAAGTAGAGTGCAGTGCGTAACCGGCAGCCGAGTTTAGTAAATTATCGAGCCCAACACTTCTTTTCGCCCAGAATGTTCATACCAACAACCGCGACCAGACGGATTCAGTACATCAACTGATGTTACTTGCAGTCCCTCTGACAGGAGGTTCAGGTTCGAGTCCCAGCGGATTTTAGACACTACCTTGTTACCTAGGTCGAATTTCAGGCGCTGTCGTTGGAAGAGAATTCTAGTGCGGCTGCCAGCATCACGATTTTCCGTGATTTCTCTGGATTCATACCTGGTGAATGCGGAGCAGTACCATACCAAATGGGCCACGGACAGCGCGCAATCTTTCCTTCTCTTCCTATGCTCTCCCCTTACACACACGTACACGTACAATCAATCAGTCAATGCATACAACGATTTTTGAATACTCAATTTCCTAATTAAATCTTAATTTATATAAAAGAACTAATATTAATGCCATCGTTTTCGTCGCGGGAATGAAGTTTTCAATTCATATTAAACTACTAGCGGCGAAGATTGCACTTCACGAAAACGTTAACGTTAATATTTAAATGAATAATATTGAAACTATACATAGTTAACGTTAATAAATAAAATACGTAACTGTACCAATTGTCGTATCAAATTAAAAGAACCAGCACAATCTGAATCAGTGGACACCAAAATAATATTAAATAAAATTTTAATAGAATAATTTTAGGAGAAAGTTCAGTTCACATCACTTATTTCGAATTAAAGTTAAAAATCTCTGCGCCATCAATATTTTGCAACATATCAATACTTTCTCACACTACTATGAGAAGGAAAAATTAAATTATATTTTACATTTGTATCAATTGCAGAGAGAATGAAGTTGGCAAAAATCTTGAACCATAATGAAGGTGAATTTCGATGTTATTCGAAGTATCGATAGATTCCGTACGCATCAATTACGTTTCCATTCAAATTCGAGAAAATGGTATAGTTGTCACATAAACTCGTAGTAAATCGTAATTAAATTAGAACGCAGTGGACATTCACTTTTTTCTTTATCGGCAATTTTACTTAGTTCTGCAGCTTGGGGTTGTGACTTTATTTCTTCTTCACTTCGATTCCATTCGGTGGACATTTGAGACATTTCTAAGCCTCAGTTCAGAAAATCCGTTGTGGAAGGAACTTTCTGCTTTTAGGCCAGTTTTTTTCGTCTAGTCTTTCAATTAAAAAAACAATTCTTCTCTCTTAATATTTTTTTTTTCCTTGAGGAATGTCAAAAACAGTGAATGAGCATTCGTCCACTAGAAAACTATTGTTTGATTATTTATCCTTCACAAAAATAAACGTACACGTTTGGTGCCGTTAGCACTGGGAGATTACAGGCGTAATCACAAGTTACTTGGAAGAGCTGATACAGGACGTGTTGCGTATAAACGTAAAAACGTTTGGGAGAGTTTGCGCTGTCATTGCTTGCGTAATTACTTGTCAAGCTCTAACCCAGTTTCATTGCATACGAGCATTACGTCGGGAGATGGTCGTTTACTGCGGCGAAGGGCTTGCTTGACTAACCCGCCCGCCCGACCTCGCGCACGCAGTCCGTTAACGTCCCCTTCCGGCCACCCGCTCACTGCCCGCCCCACCGTCCATCGCCCATCGCCCACGCCCACCGCCCACCGCCCACGCCACCGCCACACCCACACCCACCACCCAATTACCCACCGCACACCGCTTCACCGTTGCTCC